GTGCTTCATTTCTATTAATTTTTTAAAAGTCATTGGAGTGTTAAACATAAGTCAGATCATGTTTACTAATAACCCTTCAGTTACTTTCCACTATATTTAGAACAAAACCCAAATTCCTATATTTATTCCTCATAAACATCCGGCCTACAGGCCCTTGTATAGTATGGCTTCTGTTTACTTCTCTGACTTGATCTCTGTGCTTCTGCTTCAAGGCCTTTGTGCTAGCTGTTCCCTCTGCTGGTTCCAGAGTTCCAGTGGATATGTTCTTCTCAAAAACTGTTTTGTTTTCATTTTTATGTGTAGCCTTTGTTTTTCAAGCAGTTAGAAGCTATTTGAAGTTTTTATGTTTTATTCTTTTTTGGCTTGCTTTCTTTATTTAGTGTCCTGCTTACTTCAGGACTCATAAGTTACTTGGATAAGACAATTTCTGTTTTTGTTGGGGTTGTTTGACAAAACAGAATTGTTTGCATGTGTAAGATTGAAAAGGTCACATAATATGTTAGTGGCTGTGTTCTCCATTGTCACCTTTTCTTTTTGTCCTTAGTTGGGACCATTACACCCTTAGCTTGTGAGCTGTCTCTGCTACCTGTTCTCCAGTGAGGTAGCTTGAGAGTAGCTATGGTGGGCTGAATGAGGGACCCCCGCAATATGATTAGTTAAGTATCTTGACATGAGGGGAAACGATAAACTATCCAGGCATACCCTTGTAATGACAAGGGTTTTTGAAATTTATTACAACTTAAAAAAGGAAGGAGTTTGAGGTGGTACTGTGCTATGGTGACACCATTGCACTCTAGTCCAGGTGACAGAACAAGATTTCGTCTCAAAAAAAAAAAAAAAAGAAAGCATAATAATTGATGTACTCATTACCCTGCTTTAGAAGTTACCAGTAAAGGCTAGTCTGTCTTTATTTCTTCCCACTCTGGATTACTTGAAGTAGTTCCAGGCATCATTCAGTTTCATCTGTAAATACCTGGTGCTATAACCCAATAAGCCCATTATAAATTGAAAATATCATAACTTGAAGGGCTTTTAATACCCTGATTAACCCACTGTAAATTGAAAATTAAAAGTTGAACTGTCATAATCTGGTATATCAATATAGTATATATATATATATATATTTTTTTTTTTCCTTTCCTTTCTTTGAGATGGAGTCTCACTTTGTTATTCTCGGTAGAGTGGCAGGGCCTCATAGCTCACAGAAGCCTCAAACTCTTGGGCCCAAGCAATTCTCTTGTCTCAGCCTCCCAAGTAGCTGGGACTACAGG